GAATTGCATTCATCTAATCAAAAATCTTATCTAGCACATCAAGAAATCTCTTGGGCTTCAGAAAGCAATGTTACAAAGAGAAAATATAGCCATGTTCTGGGGCAAGGGAGGATGGGAATTGACTGCTAATGGGTATGGGGTTTCTTTTTTGGAGTGATGAAAATGTTCTGAAATTAGTGGTGAACCACTGAATTGTACACGTTAAAAAGGTAAACTTTATGGTATATGAATTATATCTCAATAAAGTTATTTTAAAAAGTCATTTGAATTTTTCATTCTAATTATGAATGTTTATCTTTATATATAAGTACTTGTCCTCCAAATCGTTCAATAGAATGGACATATCAGAAAGAAAAAAATTCCACCATTATTTCAATGAATCTATCCTGTGGAAATAACTCTAACTATTAAAGAAAAATATGCTTTGTGCACAAAGATGCTCAATGTATCATGATTTAAAATAACTCAGTAGTTATATAAATATGTGACAATGAGAAAATTTAAAACTTGATGTTATTTCTTTTTTTGTTTGTTTTTAAGATTTTATTGGGGAATTGGGGAAGGGGAACAGCGAAGTTGTTGTCCTTCAGTCTTAGTTGTGGAGGGCGCAGCTAGCTCAGCTCCAAGTCCAGTTGCCGTCCAGCTGCCCTTCGGCAGCTCGCAGCCACTCACCTCAAGGTGCCATGTTCAATCTTAGTTGCGGGTGAGCATAGCCCACCATCCCATGCGGGAGTCGAACCAGCAACCTTGTTGTTAGGAGCACATGCTCTCACCAGCTGAGCCATCCTGCCACCTGTTGGCAGCTCAGTGGCAGCTCAGCTTGGGCGCAGCTCACTGGCCCATGTGGGAATTGAACCGGTGACCCTGTTGCTCAGAGCTCGTGCTCTTAACCAACTGAGCCACTCGGCCGGGCCCTGATGTTATTTCTATTCAATTGAATATTATATAGGTTAAAAAATTATGATTATAAGATACAAGTTGAAAACAAGGGACTGGTTATGTATATTTATGGTACATCCATATAATGGATTACCATGAAACCTTTAAGGATATGATGCAGAAGATTATTTATTATCCTGGGGAAATGCTCCTAGTGAGTTACCAGGTGACAAATGTGGGCAACAAGATGGTATGAAGCTATGTACACAGATGGATGAAAAAACACAGAAACTAGTGATCTTTTTTGGATGAGAGTTATGTGATAATGTATTTATTTACGAGTATTTAATAAGATTTATATTTTTAGTGCATTTTAGGTTCACAGCAAAATTGAGCGGATGGTACAGAGATTTCCCTATATTCCCTTCTCGACACATGCAGAGCTTCCCATCATCAACATTCCCACCTAGAGTGGTATGTTCGTTATAATTGGTGAACCTATGTGTGAAAGTCTAGTTTACGTTAGGATTCACTCTTGGTGTTATACATGGGTTTGGATAAGTGTATAGTGACATGTATCTACCATTATAGTATCATACAGTCATTTTACTGTCCTAAAAATCCTTTGTGCTCTGCCTATTCATCTCACCCCTCCCCCTTACCCCTGGCAACCACTGACCTTTTTACTGTCTCCATAGTTTTGCCTTTTCCAGAATGTCATATAGTTGGAATCATACAATATGTAGCCTTTTTGTATTGGCTTCTTTCACTTACTAATGCATTGAAGTTTTCTCCATCTTTTCATGGCTTGATAGCTCATTCCTTTTTAGTGCTCAATAATATTCTGTTGTCAGGATAAACCAGTTTATTTATCCATTCACCTACAAAGGGCATCTTGATTGTTTCCATGTTTTGGAAATTATGAATGAAGATGCTATAAACATCTGTACACAGCTTTTTGTGTGAATATACTTGTTCGACTCCCTTGGTAAATACCAAGGAGTACAGTTGCTGGATCACATGTAAGAGGAGTCTAGTTTTGTAAGAAACTGCCAAACTGTTTTCCAGTCTACGTTTTGCATTCCCACCAGCAATGAATGAGAGTTCATTTTGCTCCACATCCTTGCCAGCATTTGGTGTTGTCAGTGTTCTGGATTTTGGCCATTCTAATAGGTGCGTAGTGGTATATATATTTTTCTTTATGGTTACTGTATTCTTCAAGTTTTCCATATTGATCATATATTATTTTGTAATAGAAAAAATGTATTATAAAATAGAAAGCTACAAAGTCCATGTAATAGCAGTGAGTTGGGGGAGAGGAATGGTGGAGGAATAAATATTATATAACATTACATGAAGAAGAACATAATACAAAGTAATGATACTATCAGAACAACTATGATTTTAAAAATTGGGAAAAAAGGGCCAGCCGAGTGGCACATTGGTTAAGAGCTGGCTTGGGACGCCAGCTCTGAGCAGCAAGGCCCCAGTTCAGATCCCACATGAGGGCCAGTGACACTGCCCTCTACAGCTTAGACGGTGAGCAACAGCTCAATTTGGAGGTGGGTTTCCGTGAGTCACCAGCGACGGCGTAGGCTGCAGCCCCTGCTGCAGTGGGCTGCCATAAGCTACAGTGTGTGGCCAGCAGCCAGTGTGAGCAGCTGGCAGCTGGTGTGAGCTGCCAAGAGCCGCCGTGAGCGGCCGTCCAGAGGCCGGCGACTGATCTGCCTCACCCGGGAAGAGCACAATGATAATACCAACACGGGCCAGTGAAGCAACATCCTCCACAACTAGACTGAAGAACAAAAAGGACAGCAACTTGTCTGTTCCCCTCCCCTAATTCCCCAATAAAAAAATCTTAAAAAAAAAAAATTGTGACAATTGTATCCAATTTAGCTTTTCATTCTTTGGGGGAAAAGACTGGCTACACCCAAAATGTGTTGTTTGTAGAGTAGTGCCTTCCAAAAGCATCTTGAAATACTCTCTATTTTTTTGTTATTTAAAAACTAAAGATAGGGCCGGCCGAGTGGCTCAGTTGGTTAAGAGCTCGCTCAAGAGTTTGAGCTCTGAGCAACAGCGGTTCGAGGCCAGCCCGAGCTGAGCAGCCGCTTAGCTGCCAATAGGTAGCAGGATGGCTCAGCTAAAAAACAAACAAACAAACAAAAAACCTAAAGATAATAAAATTACATACAATTATAAAAATAAAGAATTTTATATTTTAAAGGACAAAATGGAAGAATTCTAAACAAGTCATAAAAGCATTATTTGACTACTATAACGCCATTGTTAAACAAAAAATATATAACTTCCACAGCCTCAAGTCTTTTCCAAAGAAAGGGTTTATTAGGCCATGGCTAGCACAAAAAGACTGGTCTTGGGGCCTGGAGTTTAAACCAGCAGCAGCATGGCTAGGTAGGAAAGACACCATGTCATCTTGGAGTTTTGCAAATGTTTTTATACATCAAGTAGGGGGAGAAAGATGTAAACTGTTCTGAAAGAATTTACATTAGTTATAGGTACAGGGGATGGGAGGTGAAGCGGGGCTAGTTCTGGGATATGTTCAGCAAAGGCCGCAGCAAGGTCCTTCAAGCTCATGTGTAAACAAGAAGCAGAGGCTCCTGGGATTCCAGTGCCTGGCTCGTCTTTCTTTTTAGATAATTTCGGAAATAGTCACCTAGAAGTTAATTTAATAATTCCAACATACACTAAGGAGTGTGAGCAGTCTTCTGTTGTTTTTGCACTGCAGTTTTTAACTGATTAATCCCCTTTTGGCTTTCTTCTACCATCTAGCCTACTGTAATTTAATTTTGGACATTTCAGAATTCTCTCCTTATCACCACAAACAGTTACATTTGATTCAACGTGTCAGTCTTTATTCAGTTTATATTCAGTATATACACATAAGTAGATGTATGATATGTGATTTTCATATTTGCTAATAAATTATGCTTTTTTCTTAAGTTCTAAATTTAAAACAAATATAAAATGTGAATTACTTGTGAAACAAGAAAAAAGTAGAATTTTTCCTTAATATACTACATCTTATGGTGCAATAAAGTTGACTTTATAATACAATCTTTAATATATATTCATCTAAAACAACATGCTTTACCTAAAATCACTTCCATATAACAAAATAGTTTAAAAAATTCCCAAATGAATTAGTAAAATCATATATCACTACAAAAGGGTTAAAACCCAAAAAGTTGAAAATGTTCATGTAATGTTTAAGGACACTGGGCTTTGGAGTCAATGCTAGGTTATAATCTAGACTCTTTGTGGAAATGATAGAAACTCATTGAGCTTCCTTTTTTCTTTTTAATTTTATTGGGGAAAAGCCATGGTCATTGGTTACACATTGCTTTCATGCTACAATGGTATAGCTAACTCTTATAGGGAGGGTGCAGCTCACAGTGGGGATTGAACATGCAACCTTGGTGTTATCAGCACCACGCTCTCAACAACTGAGCTAACTGGTCATCCCAAGCTTCCATTTTTTTAATCTGTAAAATTGGGATGATATGAATATCATATAGGTGTTTTAAAGGTTAAACTACATTATACTTGTAAAAGTACAGAAGCTGTCATAGGATAAACCTTCAATTAATGTTAGCTACTTTTCCCACCCTGGGGTAAAAAAGAGGGTGGATAAAGAGGAAGGATTCTCCACCTGTGGCCACAGATCTCCCTACTTTAAGGAAAAATCCAGAGTATACTGGTCATCCTTGCTAGACACATGCATCACTTAGTTTTCTAGTGGCAGAGAATCTGCTCACAAACTACACTTTTTCTATCTTTTGTCCAATCACATCACCTCTAAAGTGCAGGGCACTACACCTTCTGCACTTTTTCTTGTCCCCTACTCCCATCCTACCTTCCCAGTCCACCTTTCCCAGTCACATACTCCTCTCTGTTCCGCCCAGAAATCGTGTCTTTTTTCCCTCCCTTTCCTGCTTCTAACTTTCCCGCCCCAGTAGCTCTTGGCCAATCGTGAATGTAATTGTCTCTTCTTTCCCGGCCTCTTAGTGACGTGAAGAGAAATGAGGTCTCTGATTGGATTTTCTGGAGCAAGAGCCCACCAATAACAGGCAGACGTTTTGGGAGCAGACGCACAGCTAGTATTGTCGCTGGTGACTGGCTGGAGTGGCCGAGACAGGAAAATGGCTGCGAGCCCCTCTGTAGTCCCGGTGGCCCTGACGGCTCCGGTGGTACAGGTTTTGTCAACGAGCGGCGATTTCTCAAATTTGCGAGAAATTAAAAAGCAGCTGCTACTTATCGCCGGCCTTACCCGGGAGCGAGGCCTACTGCACAGCAGCAAATGGTGAGATGTCGGGGTCAGAAGGGACCGGGCTTTGATTCTTGGTCTTGGGGGTCTTGTGGAGCTGATTCAGTTTGCGGGGGTGTTCCAGGTCCGCGGAGTTGGCCTTCTCCCTTCCGGCGTTGCCTCTGGCCGAGCTGCAGCCGCCTCCGCCGATTACAGAGGTAAGGACTTCTTCACAGCAAGCGCTTCCCATCAACCCAAGAGGTACTGAGTGACCTGTCACCGGAGGGGTGCAGCATACCGCTTAGCAGGAATGTTTGTAGAGGGAATTCAAGCATTTCAAGAACTAGGTGTTTTAAGCGATTTTATCTGTGTGGTTCTGTTGAGCTTTGAAAGATTTGGTGGTGCTTTTAAGCTGGAGAGAATTAGTAAACCTTAAGATTTCACCCTTTTGATTTTGTATCCCAACGTAGACAATATTCATAACGAAAAGGAGAATCAAAGGTTTTTACAGAAGTACGAAACTGGCTTTGGATTCAGACAGCTCTCTGTTCAAATCTCAGCCACACTGGTGACTTTTGGCAACTTAACCTCCTGAACCATAGTTTCCTCATCTGTGAAATGCAGATAATAGTTTTTACTTTATGGGGCTATTGAGAGTATTAAATGATATATGAATATATTTTATGTATGATCTATAGTACATAGGTTTACAAAGTGTGCAGCCTGAACATTTTTCATCATAATCCATTTTATTTCTGAAGATGCCATTTCTTGATTTTTTTTTTTTACCCCCACTAAAAAACAATAAATATTTCCCACTCCAAAAGGTATAATGCAGGTGAGAGAGGGCATGGGAAGAAATAAGCAAATGGTGAGTGAGTGTGAAAAGGGCCACCAGAATCCTAGGCTGAGTGGACACAGTTAAGACATGTTTATCCAATGAAGAAAATACTGAATATGTTTTGGTTCTAGTTTTGTGCTGGTAATATTTGGGGCAAGAAGGATGAGGAGAATTACATTATTAAAGTTTTAATCAACTTATCTCTAGAATTTGGGGGGATTGTATGTTTTTTACTTAAATATGCATTTTTTAAGTAGAGAATTATAGCTGTGTTCTATGCTTTTTGCAATACTAACATGTCAAAACTTTCTTGAAGTACAAAAAGTATAAGTGATTGCACAGTATTTTGCATTTATGTAGGAATCTAAAAGCCTGGAGAAGGAAGGTAATGTCAGATGTGCCAGACATTTTCCATGACTTTTTCACTTTTTCCTCATATCGAATCTGTGCTACTGGCTCCATTTTACAGATGAAGAAGTGAATACTCAAGGAAGCTAAGTTAACTTCCCCACTAATGTCATGAAACCAGGAAACCAAGGAGTCAGAATTTAAATCCAGGCCCCTAATGCTAAAGCCCGTGCAACTTCCCACTACATTTGCAGAAACAATACAAGTTTCTGAGTGTGTGGGTTAGTTTTTTTAGATTTTTATTTTTTCCCCAATTTTTTATTTTTTTGGGAAAAAAAAAAGTTCTATGACCTTACTTCATTCATGCATAAATGATTAAATCTATTTATTAGGTTTTTGGGAGGAGGAACATAATTATTTTTTCTTACATCTTGAAATTAATGAATATGCACCTTTGGTTAGAACTTTTGTTGTCCTGTTCCCAACCGCTTACATAAATTTGTCTCTTTTCTAGGAGGATGCCCAGGATATGGATGCTTACACCTTAGCCAAGGCCTACTTTGATGTTAAAGAGTATGATCGGGCAGCACATTTCCTGCATGGATGCAATAGCAAGAAAGCGTATTTCCTGTACATGTATTCTAGATATTTGGTGAGGGCCATTTACCTTCAGTGAAACATCCATATTTAGAACCAAGTGGAAAAAGTTAAATCTTTTATTAATAGCTTAACAATAATCTACTTGGTGAATGTACTTTACACTGTACAATAATAAAGAAGATATCAAAAATAAAGTAAAAAGAATGATAATATGAAAAAATATTAAAAATATTGATAATATTCATTATTGACAAAGGTGTGGGGCAGTAGACCCCATTTTATTAATTTATTATTTTTTTTATTATTTTTTTTTTAGCTGAGCCATCCTGCCACCTGTTGGCAGCTCAGCGGCAGCCCAGCTTGGGCCAGGAATCGAACTGGCAACACTGTTGCTCAGAGCTCACATTCTTGAGCTAGCTTTTAACCAACTGAGCCACTTGGCCGTCCCCACGCAGACCCCATTTTCGGAGTAAAAGTTCAGTCAATTTTGGCAGAATATGTTAATTTGAAATACTGTGACCAAACAATTCTACTTTAAGAAACTTCCATTTCCATTGGAAATACTTGAGTATGTGCACAAGGATATACAGAGGGTGCCAAAAAAATGCATACACATTTTAAGAAAAGAAAACTTTATTAAAATTGTAATACTCAATTATACTGATAACAAAAGATAAATACAAATCACTTTTTATTTTAAGATTTTTTTTTTTAATTGGGGAATTGGGGGATGGGAACAGCACTGAGGAATTGGGGGAAGGGGAACAGACAAGTTGCTGTCGTTTTGTTCTTCAGTCTAGTTGTGGAGGACGTTGCTTCACTGGCCCAAGTTGGCATCATCATTGCGCTCTTCCCGGGCGAGGCAGATCAGTTGCTGGCTTCTGGACGGCCACTCACTGCAGCTGCTGGCTGCTCACGCTAGCTGTTGGCTTCACATGGTAGTCCACGGCAACCCTCTGCAAAAGGGGCTGCAGCCTACGCCGTCACCAGTGACTCAGGGCAGCCCAGCTCCAAGTTGAGCTGTTGTTCAGCATCTTAGCTGTAGAGGGCAGTGTCACTGGCCCTCATATGTGGGATCTGAACCGGGGCCCTCTGGCATCCCAAGCCAGCTCTTAACCAATGTGCCACTCGGCTGGCCCAATACAAGTCACTTTTGACTTCTGCAATTACAAGAGGTGTTCATAGTGGTTACCTTCAGTGTCCAGACACTTCTGATTATGGTGAACTGCTTGAGCAACATTGACCAACGTGTCCACTTGTATACATTTTTTGGCACCCCCGGTATGTATAGGGTGTTTATTGAAGTATTTTTTGTAATAGCCAAAAAAATGTCAACAAAGTAAATATCCATCAGTCAGGAAATCCGCTGTTAACTCTTGCCTGAAGTATTCTTTACATCTTGCAAAATGATGATTTTCCATTCCAGCACTCTCCACATTTTCTGTTCACCACTTGGCATTCTGCTCTAACCAAGAGCCTTCCTTCCCCTTCTCCATTTATTTTTCTGTTTATCTGGTATCAGTATGGACTCAAGGATTCCTATATTTGTAATTATTTGTAATTCATGATTATACTTAATTATTTTGGTGCTCAAATTATTCCAGATTTGACCAGTGGGAGCCCCTGAATTTTGTTTAAAATTAGTGACCCGTGGTATAAAATTAGTGATCAGTGGTAGGCACCATTTTTGTTGAACTTGGGACCTTTAGGTAGAATCAGGCTGCTAGTTTTAGAACAGGTTCAGAATAAACTGAAAAACTACCTATGTGCTGATTTTCTTTTACAGTCTGGAGAAAAGAAGAAGGACGATGAAACAGTTGATAGCCTAGGTATGAATTTCTTTCTCTTACTTTTTGGATTAAAGCAGGGGTTGCACACACAAATGCCTACGGGAGCCAGACAGGTAACATAAATGTGTGAAGTGGTCTGAGGTGGCCTGTTGCAAATTGGAGAGCATTAGTGGCCGGTTGTCACCCGCTCCAGCTGAGGGCTGCCTTGTGGCCTGGTTTTGTCAGGGCTTTCTTCCCTTGGCCCTACCTCATTCCCTGCAACCTGAAGCTGGAAATCCAGATTTTTGGTGGAGGCCTCTGATTTTTAAACATTGATAACTAATTCAAACATTTAAAAACCTGTGTGAGCCTAACAAAATATGATTGCAGACCAGTTATCAGTTGTGATTTTTAGAATAAAGTTAATTGAATTGTGTAAGATATCATTGAGCATTTGTGAGTGTTTGCTGGAAATTTCAGGTGTAACTGGTTGATGCCGAAGGGAATATCTAGGTCTATGAAATGAAGATCAGCAGTCTTCTCTTAATCAGAGACTTTGTTTCTTTTCTAGGCCCTCTGGAAAAAGGACAAGTGAAAAATGAGGCTCTTAGAGAATTGAGAGTGGAGCTCAGCAAAAAACACCAGGCTCGGGAACTTGATGGATTTGGCCTTTATCTGTAAGTGTTAATTTGGAACTTTCTATAACATATTCTTCTGAGTAAAAGAGAGATGTTATAGAGTATTAACTTCTGCGATTAATCCTTCTTTCCTAGGTATGGTGTTGTGCTTCGAAAACTGGACTTGGTGAAAGAGGCCATTGATGTGTTTGTGGAGGCTACTCATGTTTTGCCTTTGCACTGGGGAGCCTGGCTAGAACTCTGTAACTTGATTACAGACAAAGAGATGGTAAATTGAGATGAGCTATTTGAAAAACCCTGTGCTCCAGGTCTTTGTAATTCTCTAATAATGGGGTGGGGGGAGAGAGGTTTGCTAAGCCTTTGATTATAGCTAGCTCTTTGCTCCTTCTCTAGTCTGTCTCATTGTTGGGATTTGGGTCTTCATTTGAAAGACATGTGTAGCTCTTATTCTATAGTTGCTGTTGGATTTGCATCCACTTGTACTAGAATATCTTTTCATATTCAAGTTTTCACGTTTAAGTTTTACTATAACTTGTTTTATAGACCAAATGCTATTATAGTTTCTTCTCATTCCAAAGATGCTATAGTAAAAGTTTCTCTGATATCAAAGATTGTATTAAAAACATTTTTAAAGTCTGCTGAGCTCTCATAGGACTCTAAAGATTTAGAGATTTGTTAATTAATGAAATAATGTAAATGACATTGTTTTATAAACTGTAATCATTTTATTAGTCATTATTGGAGAACATTGTCTATAGAGTTTACTTTGCTGTTCTTCAGTAGTTAATGGAAGTGATAACACATTTCCTTTTGTTTGCTCTAAAGAGCCAAAGGCCGATTAATTTTCCCCCAATAATGATATAGGCTACTAAATCCGTGTCTGAAATCTTATCTTGGTTACTTGTATTCACCTATCTCTAAATGCCTACTAGACTTTCACTGAAAGTTTGTTTTATGCCTGAACTCAAAATACACAAAACCAAATTTCTCATCTTACCTACTAGATTCTCGTTCCTCCTCCCAACTTGATACACTCTCATTAGCATCACTATTTCTCAAGACACCCAGTCTTAATGCCTCAGTCATAATTGTCTCTTATCTCCCTTTATCTAGTCAGTCACTAAACATTGCCATGGTTTCTTCTTGCATGTCTTTCTCTTGGTTTCCTTTGCCATCTTGGTTTTCATCTCCAGTTTGGATTCCTTCTAAGTAACACTTTCTGTCTAGCTTTCCCATTTTTACACTCTCATTTGCAAGCCATGCTGCATATTGTTTCCAAGCTTATTCTTAAAACACCCATGTCATCATGTCATTGTCTTGCAAAAAATTGTGGTGATTTGCTATTGCATCCCATTTACTGTTGCACCATAGGACCCACCCTACTAGTTCAGTCTTATTTTCCCACTACTTCCCAACACAAAGCTTCCCCTCAAACTAAGCTAGTTTCCTCACTCTCTACCCACACTCATCATGACTCTTTTTCCTCTGTTTATGTCATTGCCCTTACCTAGAATGCCTTTTTTCTCTTCCTCTCGCCTTTTTTCTCTTCCTCTCACTTTTTTTCTGTTCAAGCCTACCTGTCTTCCAACACTCATCTCAAATCCTGTCTTTTCTTTGAAGCCTTCCTCAACTAGGCCATTCCCCCCTATTGTGCTTGTAAGTCCTAATAACTGAACTGTCCTGTGTTCATTATTAGGTGCTGTAATAAAATTTTGGTGATAAAGTCCTTTAGACAATAAAAATAGTTCCTTCGTGTTCATTTGGGAGAGAGGTCAAAGTATATTAAATGTGTTCCTCTCTCTCCTGTTGCCAGCTGAAGTTCCTGTCTTTGCCAGACACCTGGATGAAAGAGTTTTTTCTGGCTCATATATACACAGAGTTGCAGCTGATAGAGGAGGCCCTGCAAAAGTATCAGAATCTCATTGATGTGGGCTTCTCTAAGAGCTCATATATTGTTTCCCAAATTGCAGTTGCCTATCACAATATCAGAGGTGAGTGAATAAGGACAATATAAAATACCATCAACCCTGAAGTAGCACTATGTTTCCTGAACTATCTTCTTTCTGCAGATATCGACAAAGCCCTCTCTATTTTTAATGAGTTGAGGAAACAAGACCCTTACAGGATTGAAAATATGGACACATTCTCCAACCTTCTTTATGTCAGGGTGAGCTGCTTCCTTTACTTGGACTTGATTAAGTTCTTTTGTGCTTTCATCTGGGTTGGATTGTCCCAGCTGCATTCGCTAAAAGAAAAATAATTTAGATGTTTCCTTTTTCATGCTTAGATTGTCTTTCTGTTTTCTTCTAGAGCATGAAATCTGAGTTGAGTTATCTGGCTCACAACCTCTGTGAGATTGATAAATATCGTGTAGAAACGTGCTGTGTAATTGGTAAGAATCATTTTTTTTCTTTTAAAATTTATCTTTATTATAAGTAATACAAATGTAGAATAACAACAATATGAAAATGTTAAAGGTAACAAAATTATATACAATAGAATGTGAAAGCTCACTGTAATCCCACTCTCAAGATTGTTTAGTGAACATGACTCCAGAATATTTTTCTGTGTGAATACTAAAGTATGTGTGTGTATGTATGTACATATGTATGTGTGTGTACAGTTTTCTTGCAAAAACTATATCATTATACACATTGCTTTGTAACTTCCTTTTTTAAACTTAACAATATATCTTTTCTATCTTTTCAAGTTAATCCATCTAGATTTGTATTTTTTTTTCATTTTAGATATTACATTTTATTTTATTTTTTATTTTTTTAATTAAAGTTTACTGGGGTGACAATTGTTAGTAAAGTTACATAAGTTCCAGGTGTACAATTCTGTAATACATCTATATAGCACGTTGTGTGTTTACCATCCAGAGTCAGTTCTCCTTCCATCACCATATATTTGATTAGATTTGTATTTTTGATGGCTATTTTGTATTTTATACAGATGTGCCGTCATTTTTATTTAATCATTTTCTATTATATAAGTTGTGGCCAATGTAAATATAAAAATTGCTTTGGGAAACATCTGAGTATGTATACATTTATTTTTGCATGTTTATGCCACTATTTCTGTGTAATAAACAGTGAAAAAGTGTGTATCAAAAGTGTGTATATTTTAAACTTTAGTATTACTAAAATGTTTGTAAGAATTTCCAATTCTATGAAATGTTTCTCTGTGTCAGGGTGTCCCAGTCAATCTTGGCACTAATGACTCTTGGACTGCAGTTGTGAGGGGCTATCCTATGTGTTATAGGATATTAGCAATATCCCTAATCTCTACTTACTAGATGCCATTAGCTCCCTTCCCCCAGTTGTGACAATCAAAAATGTTTGCAGATATTGCCAAATAACCTGTTGGGGTCAGAATCATCCCTTGTTGAGAACCATGGTCCTATGTACTTGGCCACACAAGTGTGGCCTGATAATCAGTTGACATAAACAGATGAGTGACCACTCCTGGATAAATGTAAGCTTGATTGGTTGTTATCGAAAGCCTAGGCTCCCCAGAGATGAAAGGGAGATACCTCTTCCTGGGTCTTTGGTGACACTGCATCAAGATCATACATTAGTAGGGCCGGCTGAGTGGCTCAGTTGGTTAAGAGCTCACTCAAGAGTTTGAGCTCTGAGCAACAGCGGTTCGAGTCAGCCCGAGCTGAGCAGCCGCTTAGCTGCCAATAGGTAGCAGGATGGCTCAGCTAAAAAACAAACAAACAAACAAAAAACCTAAAGATAATAAAATTACATACAATTATAAAAATAAAGAATTTTATATTTTAAAGGACAAAATGGAAGAATTCTAAACAAGTCATAAAAGCATTATTTGACTACTATAACGCCATTGTTAAACAAAAAATATATAACTTCCACAGCCTCAAGTCTTTTCCAAAGAAAGGGTTTATTAGGCCATGGCTAGCACAAAAAGACTGGTCTTGGGGCCTGGAGTTTAAACCAGCAGCAGCATGGCTAGGTAGGAAAGACACCATGTCATCTTGGAGTTTTGCAAATGTTTTTATACATCAAGTAGGGGGAGAAAGATGTAAACTGTTCTGAAAGAATTTACATTAGTTATAGGTACAGGGGATGGGAGGTGAAGCGGGGCTAGTTCTGGGATATGTTCAGCAAAGGCCGCAGCAAGGTCCTTCAAGCTCATGTGTAAACAAGAAGCAGAGGCTCCTGGGATTCCAGTGCCTGGCTCGTCTTTCTTTTTAGATAATTTCGGAAATAGTCACCTAGAAGTTAATTTAATAATTCCAACATACACTAAGGAGTGTGAGCAGTCTTCTGTTGTTTTTGCACTGCAGTTTTTAACTGATTAATCCCCTTTTGGCTTTCTTCTACCATCTAGCCTACTGTAATTTAATTTTGGACATTTCAGAATTCTCTCCTTATCACCACAAACAGTTACATTTGATTCAACGTGTCAGTCTTTATTCAGTTTATATTCAGTATATACACATAAGTAGATGTATGATATGTGATTTTCATATTTGCTAATAAATTATGCTTTTTTCTTAAGTTCTAAATTTAAAACAAATATAAAATGTGAATTACTTGTGAAACAAGAAAAAAGTAGAATTTTTCCTTAATATACTACATCTTATGGTGCAATAAAGTTGACTTTATAATACAATCTTTAATATATATTCATCTAAAACAACATGCTTTACCTAAAATCACTTCCATATAACAAAATAGTTTAAAAAATTCCCAAATGAATTAGTAAAATCATATATCACTACAAAAGGGTTAAAACCCAAAAAGTTGAAAATGTTCATGTAATGTTTAAGGACACTGGGCTTTGGAGTCAATGCTAGGTTATAATCTAGACTCTTTGTGGAAATGATAGAAACTCATTGAGCTTCCTTTTTTCTTTTTAATTTTATTGGGGAAAAGCCATGGTCATTGGTTACACATTGCTTTCATGCTACAATGGTATAGCTAACTCTTATAGGGAGGGTGCAGCTCACAGTGGGGATTGAACATGCAACCTTGGTGTTATCAGCACCACGCTCTCAACAACTGAGCTAACTGGTCATCCCAAGCTTCCATTTTTTTAATCTGTAAAATTGGGATGATATGAATATCATATAGGTGTTTTAAAGGTTAAACTACATTATACTTGTAAAAGTACAGAAGCTGTCATAGGATAAACCTTCAATTAATGTTAGCTACTTTTCCCACCCTGGGGTAAAAAAGAGGGTGGATAAAGAGGAAGGATTCTCCACCTGTGGCCACAGATCTCCCTACTTTAAGGAAAAATCCAGAGTATACTGGTCATCCTTGCTAGACACATGCATCACTTAGTTTTCTAGTGGCAGAGAATCTGCTCACAAACTACACTTTTTCTATCTTTTGTCCAATCACATCACCTCTAAAGTGCAGGGCACTACACCTTCTGCACTTTTTCTTGTCCCCTACTCCCATCCTACCTTCCCAGTCCACCTTTCCCAGTCACATACTCCTCTCTGTTCCGCCCAGAAATCGTGTCTTTTTTCCCTCCCTTTCCTGCTTCTAACTTTCCCGCCCCAGTAGCTCTTGGCCAATCGTGAATGTAATTGTCTCTTCTTTCCCGGCCTCTTAGTGACGTGAAGAGAAATGAGGTCTCTGATTGGATTTTCTGGAGCAAGAGCCCACCAATAACAGGCAGACGTTTTGGGAGCAGACGCACAGCTAGTATTGTCGCTGGTGACTGGCTGGAGTGGCCGAGACAGGAAAATGGCTGCGAGCCCCTCTGTAGTCCCGGTGGCCCTGACGGCTCCGGTGGTACAGGTTTTGTCAACGAGCGGCGATTTCTCAAATTTGCGAGAAATTAAAAAGCAGCTGCTACTTATCGCCGGCCTTACCCGGGAGCGAGGCCTACTGCACAGCAGCAAATGGTGAGATGTCGGGGTCAGAAGGGACCGGGCTTTGATTCTTGGTCTTGGGGGTCTTGTGGAGCTGATTCAGTTTGCGGGGGTGTTCCAGGTCCGCGGAGTTGGCCTTCTCCCTTCCGGCGTTGCCTCTGGCCGAGCTGCAGCCGCCTCCGCCGATTACAGAGGTAAGGACTTCTTCACAGCAAGCGCTTCCCATCAACCCAAGAGGTACTGAGTGACCTGTCACCGGAGGGGTGCAGCATACCGCTTAGCAGGAATGTTTGTAGAGGGAATTCAAGCATTTCAAGAACTAGGTGTTTTAAGCGATTTTATCTGTGTGGTTCTGTTGAGCTTTGAAAGATTTGGTGGTGCTTTTAAGCTGGAGAGAATTAGTAAACCTTAAGATTTCACCCTTTTGATTTTGTATCCCAACGTAGACAATATTCATAACGAAAAGGAGAATCAAAGGTTTTTACAGAAGTACGAAACTGGCTTTGGATTCAGACAGCTCTCTGTTCAAATCTCAGCCACACTGGTGACTTTTGGCAACTTAACCTCCTGAACCATAGTTTCCTCATCTGTGAAATGCAGATAATAGTTTTTACTTTATGGGGCTATTGAGAGTATTAAATGATATATGAATATATTTTATGTATGATCTATAGTACATAGGTTTACAAAGTGTGCAGCCTGAACATTTTTCATCATAATCCATTTTATTTCTGAAGATGCCATTTCTTGATTTTTTTTTTTTACCCCCACTAAAAAACAATAAATATTTCCCACTCCAAAAGGTATAATGCAGGTGAGAGAGGGCATGGGAAGAAATAAGCAAATGGTGAGTGAGTGTGAAAAGGGCCACCAGAATCCTAGGCTGAGTGGACACAGTTAAGACATGTTTATCCAATGAAGAAAATACTGAATATGTTTTGGTTCTAGTTTTGTGCTGGTAATATTTGGGGCAAGAAGGATGAGGAGAATTACATTATTAAAGTTTTAATCAACTTATCTCTAGAATTTGGGGGGATTGTATGTTTTTTACTTAAATATGCATTTTTTAAGTAGAGAATTATAGCTGTGTTCTATGCTTTTTGCAATACTAACATGTCAAAACTTTCTTGAAGTACAAAAAGTATAAGTGATTGCACAGTATTTTGCATTTATGTAGGAATCTAAAAGCCTGGAGAAGGAAGGTAATGTCAGATGTGCCAGACATTTTCCATGACTTTTTCACTTTTTCCTCATATCGAATCTGTGCTACTGGCTCCATTTTACAGATGAAGAAGTGAATACTCAAGGAAGCTAAGTTAACTTCCCCACTAATGTCATGAAACCAGGAAACCAAGGAGTCAGAATTTAAATCCAGGCCCCTAATGCTAAAGCCCGTGCAACTTCCCACTACATTTGCAGAAACAATACAAGTTTCTGAGTGTGTGGGTTAGTTTTTTTAGATTTTTATTTTTTCCCCAATTTTTTATTTTTTTGGGAAAAAAAAAAGTTCTATGACCTTACTTCATTCATGCATAAATGATTAAATCTATTTATTAGGTTTTTGGGAGGAGGAACATAATTATTTTTTCTTACATCTTGAAATTAATGAATATGCACCTTTGGTTAGAACTTTTGTTGTCCTGTTCCCAACCGCTTACATAAATTTGTCTCTTTTCTAGGAGGATGCCCAGGATATGGATGCTTACACCTTAGCCAAGGCCTACTTTGATGTTAAAGAGTATGATCGGGCAGCACATTTCCTGCATGGATGCAATAGCAAGAAAGCGTATTTCCTGTACATGTATTCTAGATATTTGGTGAGGGCCATTTACCTTCAGTGAAACATCCATATTTAGAACCAAGTGGAAAAAGTTAAATCTTTTATTAATAGCTTAACAATAATCTACTTGGTGAATGTACTTTACACTGTACAATAATAAAGAAGATATCAAAAATAAAGTAAAAAGAATGATAATATGAAAAAATATTAAAAATATTGATAATATTCATTATTGACAAAGGTGTGGGGCAGTAGACCCCATTTTATTAATTTATTATTTTTTTTATTATTTTTTTTTTAGCTGAGCCATCCTGCCACCTGTTGGCAGCTCAGCGGCAGCCCAGCTTGGGCCAGGAATCGAACTGGCAACACTGTTGCTCAGAGCTCACATTCTTGAGCTAGCTTTTAACCAACTGAGCCACTTGGCCGTCCCCACGCAGACCCCATTTTCGGAGTAAAAGTTCAGTCAATTTTGGCAGAATATGTTAATTTGAAATACTGTGACCAAACAATTCTACTTTAAGAAACTTCCATTTCCATTGGAAATACTTGAGTATGTGCACAAGGATATACAGAGGGTGCCAAAAAAATGCATACACATTTTAAGAAAAGAAAACTTTATTAAAATTGTAATACTCAATTATACTGATAACAAAAGATAAATACAAATCACTTTTTATTTTAAGATTTTTTTTTTTAATTGGGGAATTGGGGGATGGGAACAGCACTGAGGAATTGGGGGAAGGGGAACAGACAAGTTGCTGTCGTTTTGTTCTTCAGTCTAGTTGTGGAGGACGTTGCTTCACTGGCCCAAGTT